GCAAAAATATTCAAGACTCCTGTTGCAAATGCCATTTAATGGCCATCCTTGAAAACTGGGTTCTAAATCACTTACTCAAAAAAACCCTTCCTGGGATGTGTAGCTTTTGAGATGTAAGCTGAGGCTTAAAGACTGGTTTAGTTACAGCCAGACAGCCAGAGGAAGGCTGAGGTGATTCCACTGACAAGGTGAGTTCTTCCAGTGAAATCTTTGACAAGCAAAGAAGCCAATATTGTTATTAATTAACTTACAGTAGCACTCTTGGAGCTCTAAACAAAACCACAGCTGTGCTAGATTTTGTACAAACATAATGAAGGATGTGTACTTAGAAGCCAAATACACAAAACAGACAAGCAACAGGGTGAAGGAGGTATTGTTATCCCCATTTCATAGTATGAGGCCAGAAATGGACAGAGATGCCAGACTTTTCACCTCTTGCACTGCTTTTGTTCCCCCCCGATGTAGAAAAGGATATAGAGGACACTTGGCTAATCCTGACCCTTATGTGACAGCTTGGTGATGTCCCTGCTGTTCCATCAGGTACACATTTACCATCCTTCACTTAGACCAGGGGAAGATTGCTACTTGCATTAGGAGATATTTCTCTTTCCCAAGCTTGATCTTTTGTTTATTAAATCATTAGCTGCATTAAGTAATACAAATATAAACAGTTTCTCTAGGGACTTCAACTAGATAGAATCAATTACATGTTCTCAGAACAAGTTTTCAAATAAAAGCAGTTCTGGCTGCCTCAGCTGGGGCACAACTGACCCATGTGAGTCTGTGGGAGTTGCAAACCAGACTAGGTAGGACTGCAAGTGAGATTTAACTTGCATGAACCAGGCTCTCTGTGCCAGTACAGAAAGCCTACACAGCCCCAGAAGGATCATTTCAGTAATTAGAATTCAGATTTCAGAGAAATGTCTCTATTTGAAAATTTCCCAGCACTTAAAGTGAGGGAGAGCTGAGAATCACACTTGTAAGTATAGACACCAACAGTTCTGCTCTGTGTGCCTAGATCCTCATGAAGATGTGAGTCTATACAGGTTTTTTTGGTGGCTTCACTGTAGAAAGCAGAGATTTTATCCTACACTGTTGATTTTGTGGTGATGTGAGGGAATTAAAAGTTTACAATGCCTGAATAGTGATTTACTACTCAGTATTCCTAGGGATTGGGTGTGTATTTCTTACTACTGGTTCCCCTGACAATTTGGGATTTATCTTTTGATCCATTTTCATTTCACACCACATAAGAAAAGATGTTATATACAACTGCTTTGTATTCAGTGACAAATTCCTTCTCTTATTACCAAACACATTGTGACTCTTGCTAAAAAAATGATGCACTTGATAGCACACAGGGATTTAAATCCCATCCTTCTGCAAGGGGTACTTGTGCAGATTAATGCACAGTTCCCAGCAATTCTTAAGCCTAATTGCTAGAGGCTGGTAGAAGTCAAAAGCTTCCCTTCCAGATTTTGAGCATAGCAACTCAAAGCATTCTCTGAATCCAGGTTTTGATCCAATCCTTATTTAAAAACAAAAAACCACCACAGCACATGCCCTACCACACCCCAATCCCCCACCCAAAAAATCCCCAGAAAGGACAACACAGAGAAGCTGTCACACTTTTGATTTCCTTCCTATCTAGAGCATTTGGACCTGAGATATTACTAAAGCCTCTCTAAATACATAAAGTAAACCTCACTGCAGTGTAAAACCGATTAAGAAGTCTTTGCATTTGTCTTCATGGAAGAGTAATCATCCTAATGTTTAATGTATAGAATAAAAAGATGCAAAAACAGGCAGGAAAAAAGCATACAATATTTAGAAGACAAACAAGGAAAAGAGGGCAGCCAGGGAAAGTGGGACAAAAAGGCAGAAGAGAGGCCTCAGGAAGTAAAAGACAACAGAATAGGGACAAAAGTTGATAGCAAGAAAAGAGAAAAAATACTAAGAAAATATCTTTCTGAGCATCCATTAGATGTTCTCACAGGAATGGAAGCCTGAGAATGTTAAAAGGGGAAAGACATTTGTACAAAATTATCAGGATATTTCTTAGAGGCAGTTATAATAATTCATACATATTTTAAGCTTGCAGATTCTACTGGCAACAGCATTAGATCTAACAGATCTTTTGAAGAGGTCAAGGCTGTAAACTTGAAGTGCATATCTATGATTAAGTTCAGTCATCTTGACTGTCTCATATAATTTGGTATAGTTTGCTATTTCAATATTTAATATTTAAAAATAACATTCTACTTCATGTCAAGTGTATCAGAGTTAATTCTAGACCATGATTTTCAGTGCTAGGGGCCTGGCTTCCAAGCCTAAGTTTGGATCTGAAATAATTAGCCACAATTTCAGAACTGACTGGACTAAGTCTGCTTAGTTCATACTTCATAAAATTACATAAATGTATTGCTATTTTAATGCATTAAAGAAATCTCCCATATAATGCAAAGAATAATTTGGTTCTTTTCCCACAAGACTTTAAATCACTTGGTAATATTGTGGTATCCAGACTAATTCCCAGTAGTAAGATACTGTTCCATGATAAAAACAGCAATTACATCTGACCATGTATTTTAAATTAGGGCAACGAACAGACCAAAAATAGTGTCAGCTCAGGCTCTGTGAATTCATGTGACATAGCAGCCTCCTTTTCTTTTTCATACATGAAAAATCTGTCTGATTTCCTTATTAATTGGTTTTTGTTTTTTTTTCTGGCTTTAAATGTAATACTCTTGTTAGGATGTTATGTGAGAATCTTCATTTGTGCCATATTATAATAAGCTGTTGTCTGCAAAATAAACAAAGCAAAATGTTTAGCTGTCTCTGTAGCTATAAGGATGAGAAATTATAGATGCAGAGAAGCTTCAGCACATGAAAAATTCTGCAGAACTCAGAAAAAAAAATTGGATTTACAATACCAGTTAATTCCTGTTGTCAGTGGAATTAGCTATTAGTTATATCCTTGCTACTAAATCAATATCACAGCCAGAAACTCTGGTCCTATCTTCCCCACAGCCTCCCCCTTTTCGCATTTGCTATTACAGTCCTTTGAGTCCAGGGTGAAATGTCTTCTGTTGTCTTAGCTCAGTCTCTAATAAGACATCACAACTCCAACACACCCAGTCAGCCAGAAGTGGTGGTTTCTCAGCTCCAGTAAGGTGAGAACTGTGTGAAGGCTAAATTACTTCTGTCCCAGAGCTGACCTTTTTTGAGGTCAAGTTAAGCTCATTATGAAGTGTTGGGAAGTCTGCTGTAGCCTTGCCTTCTCGTGTAGCTGGCACCTCTCTCATGTACACATGCTGAATTGTTCTACCTGCAGAGCTCTGCAGTCCTCCAGCCAATGTGCTGCTGGTGGCTTGATCTTGGCCAGGCCCTGGTGAACGCACCTCACAAATCAGCACAGCCTAATAAACAGTGCCTGTGTGCTCAGGAAACAGATTCTGATTCTCACCTGGGTTATGAGGTTGGGACCAGTGCACTGGTACTTGAGCCCTGCTTTAGCCTTCACTCCAGCTACTGTCCTTACCCTCCACCCTCTGCAGGGCAGGGCTGTCCCACACTGCTCTGCTTTACTGGACACTTCTGTTGTGCACATGGCAATGATAAACCCACTGTCAGATAGCTGGTTAAACCTCTGGGTAATGATTATTTTCTTTTTCATATGTAAATGTTTCCATTTTAATGAAATGGATATACCTTACTTACTTTATTCCAAACTAATGAATAAGGTTAGTGTCATCAGAAGCTTTTCCTTGCAATTTAAAGGCCAAGAGAAAAAAAAAAGAAAAGAAATCTGCTATTCATTCAGTCTCCTTGTTGAGTCACCACCAGGATGGTTATTTTTAATAAAAAGATAGAAATATTTATGCCTGAAGGACTCAGGTTTGTTGAAGATCTAGAGCTATGATAGAAAGAAATGTCTTTATTTTTTTGTCCATTCAGTATTTACATATAAAAAGCATCTACTTTGCATATAGTTCCTGTCATTGTCTCCAGCTATGCATAATATTCACAGGAAAGAATGCTGAGGTATGTAATTGTTAATACTAAATATTATTTTAAAGTATAATGTGACATGTTATTACCAAAAGCAAAACTATACTCAGGAATGAAGACTATCAGAAAACCAGTAAAGTGGCCTTAAATTAATATCTAGTGAAAGGCTATATTTCCTTTGCATCAGTAAATACTGGTTTAGCTTGGAGGACCTGATACTATGTGAGAGCTTGTGAGGTATATGGGGGATGTTGGTCACCTTAGCTGTAGGCTTCAGATTTGGGTACATTATTTATCATCCCTCATTGTTTTCCATATTTTCTTGTGTCTTTCATCAGCACAAGCCTCTGTTGTTCAATTTAAAACATTTTGCAGTTGCATTTCTCCTCAGGTCTGGGTATCAGTCATAATCAAAAGATGTCAATTCTTCCACCACACCCTTTAATTTTATTTTTTCCCATCCATGTGGGATGGGAAAATGCCACCCAGCTTATCATCACCTTGCATATCACTCACTGCAGTCTCCTCTCCCTTCTGGGTTGCTTCCCTGTACCTGGTGTGCCAAGTAAAGCCTTTTCCAAGTGCTTCAAGAGATCCATAATGTCAAGAAACACTGGAGCTCTGTAATCCCTTCCTCCACTAACAGCTGCAGTACCTCAGCACTGGTCTTCTGTCAGCAATTAGGGATTTCCTAGCACAGATTAACAGCTTGAACGTCTCTCCCCAGAGGTGGCTCAGAACCAAGATAAAGATCTAGTCTCAGGTGTTAGGAGAGGCAGTTACAAGGAATCTTAAATTTTTAGAAAACTTCAGAACTTCCTTAAAAGGTTTAAAATGTGATCCTAATGCTTTCCCAGCTCTACTCCTCATTTCTCACCAAGTAGAAAATGAATGACACAAGAAACATTTTTACACTCAAAGTTGTCTAATATACAGCAGATCATTACCATATATCCTCAGGTTTGGTTTTTTTGGGGTTTTTTTTACAGAGTTGGCATAGATCCAGATGAAGATGAAGCTGAAGCTGCAAGCCAGGTATGTCAGGCTTTTGGACATATGTGCTGAATTTACAAGTGTTCAGTGTTTGGCAAATCATGGCTGCATCTGTGGAAATGAGACATCTCAGAACAATGTTTAATCCCTCAGAATTAAAAAAGAGAATGTGTAATGTTCAATTGTAGTAGGTCAGGTGTATGAAAATATTTTCCAGTTATTTTTCACATGGAAGCCTAAGTACATTCTGAACTTGAAACCTCTAAAGAGGGCTCCTGAACAAGCTTCTGTGCCCTTCCATTTTCTGTCACACACACACACACACACATATATATATATATATATATATATATATATATATATATATATATGGTGCAGTTTCAAATGCAGCACTGGCTGCAGCAGCAGAGGAAATCTGTCAATGCACAGACATGTCCTGTGGCTCAGCACAGTGAGTGGAACAGCAGTGGGACTGCAGAGAAGCCACAGTACAGCCGACAAGGTACCAAAGCAAAAATCCAACAAGTGCCTAATGCTGGTGATAACCATCCCATGTACCCTTTAGACAACACAGCTGGAACTAAAATTTAAATCATCCAACGGTAACATAAATGTAGAAGATAAGCTGAGGAAGACGTAAGATACTATATTCATTTGAAAATACATTAAAGATATAATTAGGCAAAACTTTAATATATCTTATGTACTGAGTATTCCTAACATTTACACATTTGCAGGTATTTAAAGGCACATAAGGTGAATCTCAATTTTCATTGTAACAAGTAGGACTGGGGTGCCTAATTATCCTAATGCTTCTTCTAAAAGAAGGAAAACAAATATTATTCACAATGACCATATCCTTCATTTTGCAACCCAGTCACTATTCATAAAGGTTTAGCATAACCCTTCATTGCACCATTTATTCTGAGGGGACTCATGCTAACTTCACTTTCCTAAGCACTTTGGTAGAAATTCCTGCAATGCCTCTGTCCAAATTCTGAACAAGAGCAGGACACAGAACCATAGGCTATTCTTGATTGGAGAACAGAGATACAGAACTGCAAAAACATTCTGCTTTTCAGCACTCATGAATTACCAAAGATCAGGGAATGCGGAATACAGCATAAAATTGACTGAATGCATGTTTTGCAAAAACCTGATTTCTTCAGAGGCCACTAAGCATTTAATTTTCTCATTCTTTTACTGAAAATAATAATATTTATTTACAACAGTAACAAACCCAGTGTCCCAACTGTGCTCTGTGAATTAACACCTATCTCTCCTGACAAAACTGAGCAAGACAACACACAAGGTGTAAATAAATATAACACTTTTCATGCCTTGTCATGTCCACTTCAGCATTCCTTACAGCAGTATATCATACCTTGGAAAATAGTTTTGCTGTTCTGATTATTCTTCCCCCCACCCATGCTACTTTATTTTCATTTGTCAGATTTTTTTTATATTTGATATCTCAATCTTTTCATAACTCAGACCTTTGCTGCTTTCTCTGTAGCACTCACTGTTTTAGCTCAGTACCTATCATAATTATTCAAGTCGAGTTGTTTCTTCTAATTTTCTTTTTCATCTCATACCTCTCGCTCTCATTCCTCTTCTTCCCTTGTGTTTCTCTTTTCTTTCTCATTATTTCCAAAATGATGTTTTTATTTAGTTTACCTTTTGTCACTTCTTCTTATGTTACTGTATTCTCACAGTGAAAGCAGTTGATTTTCCTACACATCTATCCCTGCACAAATAACGGGCCAGGTGCCAGTACCTCCCACTGCCAGGTAAAGCTCTTGCCCAGATCAGCTTTAAACCACGTGCCCACTCTCAGTGCTGTCATGGAAGCTGCAGGGAAGATCGTAACAGAAATAAGAACAAAATACCTTCAAGAATAAGATGTTTAAAAGAGAGCAAAAATTGATGGAAAAGAAACTTCTAGGCTTTTCCCTGCTCAGTCAGAGTACTCAGCCAGAATGGGAAAGCTACAAGGTCTGCTACCAAGACTTGAGTTTAACTCCCCCGTGACCACTATAACTACCAGGACATGGGTACCCTGCTGTGGTGAACCCACAATCCATGTCTGTAACCATACTTAGATTTTTTTTAAGAGGCAGAATAAACCCTAAAGACCTTCCACAACGTGGGTACTATGTCAGATGCAATACCAGCTATATGACTGCAAAACCCTTTTCCTTCCTTACCTCTTCATCTTAATCTCCCTTCTTTCCTTCCTTTGCCTCCCAAAAATTCAGTTTTCTGTGAAGACATTTGATTTATTCAATAATTCTATGTACACAGTATTTCTAAACTTCTGATTATGTTGTATTTTGGGCTACCTGAACCAATAATTTTGTCAGTCAGTTGGCAGAAAATTCCAGTTCAAATTGTAGGACCTGGAACCTAGAGCTCCTTCCCTGAAAAAGGTATAGAGCCTTTTCATGTATAATTAACATCTGCACTTGACCATACCATGATCCATCAAAAGCATATCTCAGTCTCAACTCTGTCTTGCCACCCTTAAATTTATCATTAAATAATTATCACAGCATAAGCATAAACAAAAGAAAGTAGCATCATATTCATGCTCATTTACTTATTGAGGGACTGACATAACTTAGTTCTGAAAGAAATTGTGTAATATGTACTATAATAATATATATTATTGTACAGAAAATAGTACGTAGAAACAAACTGTTTTGCTGCATATCGTGTACATTCAGTGTATAAACACCAAAAGCTAACTCTGAAAAGCACAATGCAGGACACATAATCATTAAGCAGAATTACAAAGTTGGTCTATTTAAAAAAGGCAAAAGCTTTATGGCAGTGAGCTATTTAACTAAATTCCTCTTAAAAAGACAGTCAATAGCATATTTCAGTCAGATGGTTTATGTATCTCCAATTCTGCTATGTTAACTTCAGCTGAGAGAAGGTAAGAATATATTTTCTACAAGCACTTCAGAAAAAAATTTGTAGATATGTTATTGATTTCAGGAAAAAGCTAAATAGCCTGAAAAGCCCTTATCAATACCATCTCCATCAAACTAATCTGCATAGTTTAACTGTCCCTACATCTCTGTAAGAATAATAAGGAATTTACTTACACCGTTCTCATCAGTTTAATCTACCAGCTGGTTGGTGAATTTATTGCAAGGACTAATGAGAGTAATCTCCATATGGGCAATTCCCATACGGAAAAAGATATGCGAGAAATTTTGGCATTTTCCCTTCCCAGAAAGAAAATTTTTCGAAGAGATAGAGCACTGTGTCCCCTACTTTTACCTCTCTGAACTGTAGGGAAAGTGAAAAGTTACTTTTTAAAATCATAGGATCCAAAACAGGATCCAAGGATCTGTGAGAGCCTTTCAAGAAACATTCACACCAACATCTCCTGTCATCACTTGTACTGTTTTCTGCAGGAGCTGCAGAACTCCAGATAACCACCCAGATTCCCACTACTGCAAAAGCTGATAACACAACACAGATTTCATAGACAAAAGGAGGAAGGTGCAACACATGTCAAACTGGAAATAAAAGAAGGCCCAGGTCATGACCAGAAAACCCTTGGGGGATTATGCTCTTATGTAGACTTCTTTGTCCACTGCTTTCATATAGGAACAATTCATATTACCAAATGAGGAAACCTTTTTCCCTTAAGAGGAAGCCAGAGTGCAATGAGTTTGGAAAGAGGAATTAACCAACAACATTACAATTCAAACAAAGGATACAAGCCATTTACAGAGCTCACTGAGCTTTTAACAAGCTGTCCTCTGCACCACACGAGTAGCCCACTCCACAATATGTTTATTTCTATGCCTGTCCCTCTCTTCCTCTACCCCTGTGCGCTCAAGTCCTTCCCTCTCCTTTATTCAGTGTTCTTGTTGCTTTTACCTGACACAGATTTTACCTACAATTACACTTCCTGCTTAAATGTTTCAACCCTTTTCCCAATCTTTATCTTTATCTTGCCAAAATGTGCTATTAGATGTTTAGAGCTAGGAAGAGTGAGAATCCCTTGGTTAGGGATTAGTACAGTCTTCTTTCAGCCCCCTCCCCCAGTTACTGGGAAAAGTTCCTAAAATACTCAATTCAGTTAACAAGGAAACAGATCCCAATAATAATATTTGTTCTATTTGGTGCCTTTGCATGTTCAGTGTGACTACATTAGCAAAATCACAACAGCTACAGTATGGATTCTGTCTAACTTTATTCAAAACTCAATTACATAAATGTTCCTGTTGTTCCAAAGTTCCCATGAACAGGTTGCCTTGGAACTAGACCTTACACTTTTGAGGGTCAGACCATTGATGTTATCATCAGCCAATTTACATGTACATTAGCCTATAATAAAGTATTATATTTTAATATATTATTAGATTAAAACATGAAAACTAACAGATTCATCGGTTTAAAACTGCATAAATAAAAATATTCTCATTTAAACTAACCTAACTTGCCACAAAACAAAAACAAGACAACAGCTGAGTATCCTTAGGGAACTGGCCATCCCATTCCTAATTTCAGCCTGCTAGTAATTCTTCCACTAGTACTGATGTAATACCTAGAGTATCACCAAACTGGCTATCTTTGTACAGATAACTGTTCCTAATTTATTATTCCAAATTATGACCCTGAGGAAAAGGATAGTCCACCTCTCTACCTGTGCAGCATGTCATAGAATTAGCTTGCAGAATGGAAAGGGTATTTTGAGCCTTGTCAATTCAACTCATGTTCCCCTCCTCTTGGAAAGAAACAGAGAAATTATGTTCCTAGTTATTAGGAATATCTCAATCCCTTTGGAAAAGTCATTTTGTTAGACATACACAAACAGCCTCTGATCCTGCAGGAGTAAACTGAAGTAATCCCACAACGGCAATTAAATCAAAATAACATTTTATTGATCTCAGAATATAGCGCTTCTCAACTGCTTAAAAAAATTGGAATAATTCATAAAAGTAAATGCTGCATTCTTCCAATGAGTGCAGCAATGAGAAATGCTCCGTATGAGCCAATTTTCTCCTGAACTGATTCACAGGGATGACATTTGTGCGACAACAAAGCTTTTTAAATTAAAAAAAAAAGGTGCAGTTAATTGTAATTTGGTCTGACATGTATTTTTAATATCAGAACTCCATGTTTTATTTATTTTATAAAAATGCTTCTCACTTCATTCATTCATTTGTTTTGCAGAGTGCATCTAACTTGGATAAAAGTACAACCAAAGCTGAGAGTGCGTGGCTGTTCAGAATATGGTATGGCTTTGACCACAAGTATCCTTTTCTGTTATAAACCATGAATGAGAGTTGCACTACAATTCACCTTCAAAATATTTAAGAATCAAAAATTATTTTACTTTTAAAAAACAAAACAAAAGTGTAATCTATTTTAATGTGTTTAGTAAGGAGAAGAAATTTTGGAGGTCCAAGGCAGCAGAAGGTCCAGCTGTGATTGAGGCTACGGGGAGAGGGAACAAGTTAAGGAGCTCTGAGCTACAGTAGTATATAGACAATACATTTGAATTAATTAACCTTCTTAAATTCCTAGATAAAACTAATCCAATCATTATTTAGATAGGGTGTAGATTCTGTGTTTGGGGAACCAGGAGATTGAGCCAGAAGCAGCCAAATTCCTGCTGCCTGTTCTCAGAAAGCAGTAGCTACCTAAGAGTAAGACAATGCTGGTTTAATCACACCTCAAATAAAGCAGACAAAGAGGCACCCATTATGAAAAGCTCCCAGAACTTTCCTGAAGCTCATGCTTCCTAATCCCTGGATTCCTGAGCCTTCGTGCTTTTATTCACATTCCTACTGGGGCATGTGTAGTACAGACCTTGAATATGTGTGTCTGATGCTTTATTCCAGGAAGTCTGGTTTCCATGTCTTTTGCATTTCAAGAAAATATTTTAAGCAATAAAAGAACATCCTCCCTAAGCCAAAGCAGAATATATAGTCTGACACTAATGCCTGTGCAAAAATTGTAAATGCTACCATTCTAATTTATTGTAATTTTAAAGTGACTCTGCAGAGGCTTTGCATAGCAGCCAGTGAGATCCCACAGTAACACCCCCACCCTGAGCCTTTGACAGAGCTACACAGTGAACGCAAGAGAAGCCCACCTGCTGCTTCCCGTGTGCTCTGGCTCAGGGGCTGAGCACCCAAAGCCCTGCCAATACTGTCTGCATTATCCAATGGCACATCTATTGGACAGTCACCCTGCACTACTGAGCAGAAATTAATGCTCAGGCTGCATTTGTGTTTTCATTATACCAGCTGCAGCAAACTAGAATGAAATATTTCAACTGATAAAATGTAATCCTTTAGGACTACAACTTCCTTGGAGGGTTCAACTGAAGTTATTCTTCAAAGACACTTTTGATGGAAAAACATCTTTTTGGTTAAAAATGGATGTTTTTCCTTAATTCATCTACTCGAGCAGTTTTAAAGGCAAAAAAGCACTTAGCATTAAAATATTTCCCTTGGATAATTCTTCAAGAATACATAGATATAGTAGGTAAATGTTATATGAAGTGAGAAAATATGTTTAAATGTTAATGTTGAGTACCAACATGACTGGCTTTAACCACCCCTTTTTCAGAAGAAATAGCCTGTGGTGCTGGTATATCCTAGAAACTATAAGTTGAAGGAACAGATGAACAGGGTGAGGGGAAGGGGGAATTTTTCTTCTGAAGATAAAAAAAAATAAAAAAGAGCAAGCAAAAAAATGTGGAAGGCAGAAGCAGGACAGAAGCATGAATTAAAGACATGAAAGAGAACAAGGGCAGAGATAGAAAACAAGGGACAGAGGCAGAAGAGGAAAAGAGAAATCAATGTGAAAAAGTCAGACAGCAGTACATGCAAAATGAAAATTCTGTAGAAGGCACCAGAAGCACCACTTCTTAGAGATTATCTGTATGGTAGAGATCTTGAATATGGGCTTTATTCTGAAAATTCTAGTTTCCGTGTCCTTTGTATTTCAAGAAAATATTTTAAGTGATTTTAAAAAACAGTATTTTTTAAAGAACACATTTATTCTCGTCAGTCTCACTACCAGTCAAGTCATAATCTTTCTTTAGAATTCAGATGTTCAGAGATTATAGCTGCACCATTACCCTAAAATATATATTTATTACAAATAATACATCTAGACTTCACTAATCCTGGAAATGTATGTCCATATTCCTGCATGGAATGATAGTTCAACCCACTAATGCTGTGACTCACGGCTCTAAGCTTTTCTTTGGTATGACTATTTCTGAAAGACATTCTTTTCAAGGAGAGAAAAATTATCCACACAAACTTTCTTTTGCCTTTCCCTGCCTAATGTTATAAAGCCATGCTGCTAAATTTAGAAGAAGAAATTGTCATGTAGCATAGTACTTGTCCCCAGTACAGAGGAGGATTTTGATAAAGTTTTCAAAGAAAAGATATAACAAACTAATAACCTATGTGTTCATATACTTTGAAAGCATACAAGACTCTGACATTTCTATAGTTTGACATTTGCTCTTAGGCATTAACACAAATCTACCCACTCTTCTGGCAATAACATCTCTTATGCCTATTTATTTCACAGGAGGAAAGCAAGAGGGAGGAAATATCACTAAGGAAATCAAAAAGTTGTGCTGTTTCTTGCTGTCATTATGAATGATTTCCAATTAGTTCAGTGATCTTAGGCAATGGCAACATGCCATGCTAGGTTAGAACTATGCAAAAATTCCCTGAAATTCTGTTTGAAAATCACATTTTATTTTTATTCTGAAAGAAACATCAGAAGCCTGATGCAGAGCCAAATGGGTTCATGGAGGATTGTATTCTTTCAGCAAAAGTTTCTTTGAATCAGGTATTGACACCTAAGAAAATATATCATTTTCTAAAATCTAGGCTAAGAAATGTTAATATTGAAATAATAAAAATGAAGAACAGATCATTTTAGTACATTTTAGTACGTAGAATTATCCTCTTGGATTTCCATCTCAATAATTTAAACAAGAAAAATGCAAAACAAAACACTTGCATCTGACAGGGGGCAACTTCCAGTGAGTCAGCTTTTGTTTTTACAGCCTACAGTGCATTACACCATTTGAAGCCATAATATCCTACTGAAGGCTAGTGGGAAAGCAAGGGAATAAATAAAGGTTTTTCAAGCATTCCTCAGGAAAAAGAGACACCACAGATTTACAATCCGGCATTTTATACACAACTTTAAACTGTTTTTTCAAAGCAGATGTAGACAAGTTTAGCTAACAAATGAACAAGTAGGTGGAAATTTTATCCTGCAAAGGCAAGAGTCCCTGTATGTATGGGCAGAGCTCAGGCAAATGGTGAGCAAAATTTTCCCATTCCACAGCATCTCCAAAGAAGTTCTAACTTTGCTCCCAGCTAAGAGTAATTTGCATTTAACTCTGCTGAGTCCCAGCCTCCTACTTGCTTACTCTAGCAGATATCCTCCTTTTGCCTGCATAGTTCTAAGACACTGTGTACTTGACTAGAGCTGAAATTCCTCCTCTACACAAGCCTGGAATCCCAGTGACAATTCTAAAAGTGAAGGGAAATTAGTGTAATAAAAGCATCTTGCAAGCAACCTTCACCTGGTTTTCCAGCTACTCTAGACTAAACTCTGCAGTCATTTCTGGCTTCATATAATTTTATACAAGGCTCTTCATCAGAGGATTCATTCTCTTCCAGAATCCATCTAATTCTTGCTTCCTCATGTGGGGGCATTCTTGCTCTTGTTGGCTGTTCTGTAGCACCCATCAGGAAGATAAATACAATTTTCTCTCAGCTTCTCATACTCTATAGTAAGAGCAGTAGGAAGGACTTGGAATTGCTGCACTAAAACACAAAAATCGTGCAAAAATCATGGAAATTGAAGATGAGAAAAGGAGAGTGAAATGCACTAAGATATCTCTGGATAGAAATGTTCACCATCTTCATAAGAAAAAGCCCACATTGTGTTGTGGGACACATAACTTTGATAGTACACACTGAAACTTACATTGAGAACAAAATAGTTACTGCATAACAGGAAAACATATGCAAGATTAAACAGAAGAGGCAAGAAGGGAAGGAAGAGGGACAAAGACATCAAATGCATGGTAAGTTTCTTTAAATACTTTGTAAGTGTTAAATTGCAAGACAGGTTTTAGACCCACCTGCAGCAAAGCCTGATCATGTTTTTGTGGCAAAGGGGTGAGGATGGCACTGCACATGACTTGGCCTTCCAGGACTAACATGACCAGAGCACCAAGGTTTCCCATCTTTGGCATAAGTGAGGGGCGGGAGAGAGGCAGGAGAGGGACCATGACTGTTGTCACCTGGTTGGGATGAGGAGTATTGCAATGACATCCTTGGCACTGCTCCAAGCTACCCAAGAACAATGTAGCTGTCTAACTTAGCACAAAACTGCTTTTTGAGCGGTTCACATCCATTGATACCTGGAAAGTAAAGGGAGGAGAGCTTTCTCCTTCTACACAGATTTCTTTTCAATCTGAGGAACTACAGTATATTGAATAGAAGCAGGTGTCTGGGACAGAGTGAGACAATTCTCCAGAAAGTAACTCCTAAAAGTGTTTCTGCTAAAACTGCAGTTATCCATCATTCAGATTCATGCCTTTCAGTTTGGTTAAAAAAAAAAAAAAAAAAAAAAAAAAGAATGAAAAGAAAATGCTGTTTATGTCCTTTGCACTTGCCAGAAATCAATCAGCCAAAAGGAATTGCATTATTCGTAGACTTCAAAAGTTTATCCTCCTTATCAGGGAACCTATCATTTTATTTCTCCTGTGCTTTGTACATGGATAAAACAGACATAATGGCTGACTATCGAGCGAGATAAGTACTATTCTGTGCCTGGGAGAGAATGGAAAACCCACTAAAAGCAAAAGTGCACTCTAGGGTGAACTGACCATCAAAGACAAACTCAGCATTTTGTGGTCTTTTCAGCTGAATTTTCCTTCTGGGCTGGCTTGTCACTCTCATATCAGAGACAAATATCTTTGGAAGGAAAAGGCAAGGAAGAGCCTGTAAGCATACACATTGTTTTCTTTTACCTGCTGGAGAATTACAGGTTTCTTAATTACCAACAATCTAATCTTTTCTTCTTTTAGCATTTCAGTGTTAACAAAATAGCACTCAGGGTCCTAGCTTTGGCCCAGGAACTCATTTTGTTACACAGTTTTCAATCAGAAAAGAATCTTATCTGAGAGACAATTCAGTCCAATCATGAGCCAAAGCAGCATTAGGTAGCACAGCTCAAGCCAAGCCAGATACCTTGG